GGTTTCCAAAAAAAATAGTGGTTGGGCCTGTTGGATTTTGTATGTAATGGGTGTGAGTGTCTAATTGGTTTTAGAATTGGGCTGAATTGAGTTTGTAAATAAAAAAAGTTTTTTGAAAAAAATAAATTGTTTATTTATTTAAATGGTATTAGAAATTAATTAAAATATAAGTATTTTATTTTAAAAATAAATATCATGAGATAAAATTGGTATACAAATGAGACCCGAATAATAATTGAGTCACATTTATCCCTCTTTGTTTGTTGATGTGTAACAAGAATAGAACAAAGAAAAAATAATCAATTTTTATCCTGTGAATAGATCTTAAATGGTTGATTTGCTTTCTCATCTCTCCATGAAGATCAAATCTAGAAAAAAATTAATTGTGTTTAATTAAACACCTTATAGACCATGATCTTATCGTAACAAGATGGAGATATCTAATCAATATGGCATTTGTTTTGAGATTATCATTATATTTAATTAGTTAGTAATTTTTTATTTATTAGTCAATTAATCTAAATTAAATACTAAAATAAGTTCACTATAAAAATATTTCTAATTTAATTTGTTTCCCTTAAGAGATTTAATGTTCTGACTTACTAAACCAATTAAGTATGGATTAAATATCATCGTGTTTTTGACAAATTTTAAATCTAATTATAATCCTTCTTAGAGGAGATGAAAAGGGCTCTAAGAGAAGGAAGGAAAATGTTCCTAGTAGGCCTAGTACCCATGACCTAATAAAATACGAAAGAACAAGATAAATTATGATTAGTTATTCAACAATCATTTATAATGAGACACTTTTGTTATAAAATAAATAAATAATCTTAATCCGTAACTAACTCATAACATTTGAAAATAGCTAAAAGAATTTTGGATCTAGAAATCAAATGAAACACATTGTAAACATGGTTAAATATACTTATACATTATCACAGTATTCCAAAATTCAAATTACAAAATCACAGATTAGAAAATGTTGCCAAATTCCGAGACTAATATGGCTCCCCTTCTATATATTTATATGACTAACAAATAACTATATAATAATATATATTAGACATATTTGGCATATAATAATAATACTAAACAATAATAATAATAATAATAATGTGAATGAGCATAATTATAACTGGGATTCAATTCACCCTATTTAGGCGGTAGCAATCACAGATAATAATACAACAGACTTTACATGACCCTCAATTCTATCTTAAATCTTGATTGCATACACCAAAAGAGAGACATCATTGTTTCTAACAATAATCCCATAATTTTTTTTTTTTTTTTTGATAAGAAACAATAATCCCATAATAAGCCGATACCATACCTTTTCCTTTCTTCACAATCAAGTTTAGCTTCAAACCAATCCATCATTTTCAATACATTCATTCATCCTCCACCTACAAATCATGACGTGTTTCTTCAACCCATATCTCATTAAATTAATAAATAAATTGCTTGAGGGTGTAAATATTTACTATAGGAAGAACCTCAAAAGTTGTTGGTAAATAAAATATTAATTCCACTAAAAATATGTTCAAAGAATAACAATAGAACCATTTTGACAAGAGACGATCGAAGTTTTTTTAGATTAAAATGTAAAGTTCTTTTTAGTACCTTACAAATATTTTTTAAATTTTGATTTCTTATAATTTATAGTTTATCATTTTATTTTAATTTAATTTTTTTTTAAACTTTTCATAGTACTTTTATTTTAGTAACTTCTTGAATATTTTAATATTTTTAATTTAAATAATTTATTAATTTTAACTTTCTGTTTAAAGTATTTAAACTCTCAAACTTCATAAAAATCAATTAAACCCAAAAATTTTCTAAAAAAATCAACCAAGTCCTGCTGAATCCATCATTCACAAGTGGACTACCACATCAGCACATGTGGATAGCCATGTTAGTACCATGGACCGCTATGTCAACGACGGTTTCCATTGGTCAAAGGACCACATTGATTAATTTTTTGGGTTGAAAGACTTAAATTGGGTGCAAAAAAAATGTTTAGTCTTGAGAGTTTTAATTGATATTTTTAAAAAAGTTCAACAGCTTTTTGCTTAGTAATAATAAAAACACACCTACCTAAAACACCACCTCCAATGTGGGAAAAGCACCGTCATGTGTGTCTTGATGCATCATCATGTAGCTGTGTCACTCTCACATTAGGGTCATCCTGTTAGGGGGGATACCATATATGTAAGAAAGTCCTGAAACAAATTTAATCAGTTTTACCCTGCTATGTTAGCACTATGTGGAAGACTCACCCGAATGTAGAAACCAGGAGATCGAAAGAAATCCATGGGTCCCTGTAGAACAAAACACATAATATACGCAAAGTTACCATTTGGACTCGATAATAGAAAGAAACTATTGCACGAAGAGATTCTATACCATCCCAAGCATGGTTTGCTGAGTGCCATAGTAACCATCATGGCTCGTTGCTATGGTGTTTAACTGTCCCTATGAATGCAAAATCCCAAATTGAAAAATTAGTCCTCTTAATGCAGTACTAATTGCATAAATAAAGCTATCTAATTGACTCATTATGGCTATAAAATATGAGATTACCAGCCCCTGAATTGTCTGTTGATTCCCATAATAATTATCACGAGGTGCCATTAAATTAAGCTGAACCTGAAAAAGGCATAAAAACATGGAACAGAAAACAACTGACATAAAGGATAAATAAAATCAACTGTAATGATCTTACCATTCCTTGGACACTTGGTTGTGCACCAAAGTAACCATCTAGGGCTACTGATCTTGAGCTTAATTTATCCTACAAAAAAGTTACAGATTCAGACCAACTTTATTCTAAAAGCCTGAGAAAAATTTCTTGATTGCAAAGGCTGCAATAATTCTTATTGTCATGCTATTACTTAACGCAGGTGTTTTAGATCATTAAAACATCTACGACTGGTCCGCTAACTTATAAAACAAAACTAACCATTTGTTGCAAACCATCTGTTGCTGAAACAGTCATTACCTCCTGCTCTGTGTTTCCCTGGACAAGAAAAAGGTACCCTAAGCACAGAGCGGGGATAGAATCTGCCAAAAATATACTCGACATGACAAACACTACGTATAATTAACCTTTCTTTTCTTAGTTGGGTTCTTTTTCTTGTTTTTCTTGCTTGTTCTTCTGCTTGGATTGTCTTCTTCAATACACATCATACCCTGAGTGGGGGATGCCACAGCTTCTACAAGGCTCTTGTTAGAGGTATTTGCACTCAAACAGTTCCCAAAAGCCTCTTCCAGGCTTCGGAATGCAGTATAGTAGCTCTCTTGAGACAATGAACCCTCCTCAATCAACTTCATTGCTATTTGAAATAGATTATTGTATCTATGTCCCCTAGATTGCATTTGTTCAGATTCTTCTCCCATGAAATGCCTGCTCTTTGCTTCTTTCGTCCATCGTTTCAGAATATATTGAGACGGGATGGCTGAGTGGCCATTTATTTGGAGAACTACCATAGCATGCCTGCAGAGATACCCTTTGTATTCATATGAGCGGCATATGCAAGAAACTTCTGCCTTCATCTCATTCAAAGTAACAACAAAATCCTGATTCTTTTCAAGATCTTGAACACTAAAAATGCTGCATGTTGAATCATGATTTTCTTGCTTCGGATGACAAGCAATCGCACCCACGACCTCGAATTGGAACCTCTTGAATAATGTGTGAGTATATACCCCTGCAACACTCTTCTCAAAAGGTGATGGAGATTTTAACGTAGGCACTTTGCTCCATGAATCAGAAGTTGCTTTGGCTTCCTCTTCATACCGATCTTGTAAAATTGCTTCATAATGTTTCAAAAAATCTTGCACTGTGGTCTTCTTATGTACGTACTTGTCAAAGAATGAGTTCACACTCTCACTTCTCTGAACCGTAGACATCCCAGCTAACAGCACATTCATTATATAGGTTGGCACCCACATTTTGCGGTCTTCATACAACAATTTCATCCATTCATCATCTTTAAGTTCAAATCTATCAAGAATTTTCCACCACCTTTTGGCAAACTCTTCATCTGTCCTTGACCTGTAGATGCATTTCTCAAATTTTGCCATAAAGTTCCCATGCTGTTTGATTACATAACCAAGATTCTCAGAAACCTTTCCTATTATGTGCCACAGAAAGAAGCAATGATGAGTATTTGGAAAGATTTCCGCAACAACTGTTTTCAGAGTTTTGTCTGGGTCGGTTATTAGGGCTCTAGGAGATTGCCCACCCATTGCTTTCAGCCATGTCTGCATTAGCCAAGAGTATGTTGAGGCACTCTCATCTGATACCAATGCACATCCAAGTGGAATGCACTGGTAATGGTGGTTCACTCCAATAAAAAGTGCAAGAGGCATCTTATATTTGCTTGTGACATAAGTGGTATCAAAAGACACAGCATCACAGAAATAACTGTAATCATGCCTACTCTTTGAATCAACCCAGAATAAACTTTTCAGACGCTGATCCTCACCCACGTCTACTGCATAAAAGAAGTTTGAATTTATGTTCTGCATGTGTGCAAAAAATTCGAGCGAAGTCTTAATATCTCCGGCTTCTAATACCAAATTTCTACTTTTATCAAATGGATTTTTGGGATCATTCTTCAGACCAACAACATTCTTATATTCAGCAAATTGTCTAGCCATTGTGGCATACATCCTTCTGGTCTGTTCATTAACAGCTTGGGGTGGTAAAAGTTCATGGTTATGTTCTTTCACGAAACTATGTATGACCCATTTTCCATCAGGCCTTCTCTTCACATGCATACTTGCTTTACAGTCTGTCTTTGAACACGACCGGCGACCAGTTGCATTTGCATTTTCAGGGTCTTGCTTGCTTTTTCTAGAACGTGGGCGATTAAAGGATTTGTCATACTCCCTTTTGGTCCCGTATCTAGAACAGGCAAACTTTGCATCAATAAATTCTCTTGATGTTTTCGAACGTCGGCTATTTTGTATAGCAGTGTTGAATCCCATAGACCGAGCATACTCTTGATAAAAAGAATATGCTTCCCCATGTTATTCGAATTCCATGCCAGAAAGTGGCTCAAGATTGTTATCCTCCTTGAAGGTCACCATATCGACAGCAGAAGAATGCATCTCCCCAGCACCATCATCAGCACGCATATCCTCTCCTACAACCTGAACCATTCCATTCTGCAGTGTTTCATCACCGTCTAACATATTATCAATTCCATTTGCATCCTCATCTTCTGTGCACTGCTCACCAGAAGGTAACCTAAGATCTATGTCCATGATTGAAACTTGTTTACTTCAACCGTTTCCCTGCCTGAACCTGAAAAAAATGTGGAAGGGTGACATCATGACAACATAATAATAAAAAAGAAAAAAAAACAGGGCAAAGAACAATTCACAATAGCCAACTCTGATTATAAAACAGAAAGAAAAAAACTAATTCATGTCCTCGTTAACTCTTTACCAATCCTACATACATACATACATACATACATCTGAAATAAGTTAAACCCAGAGCAACAAATATGATGGGCATTTCAAAATTCCTTAGCCGTAAGTTGAATATGTGAAGAACATTTCCCTAGTACCAACATTCCAAACGAGCTAAAAAAAGCTACGATTTTAATAAAATTAAGAGCTGTCGCCATAAATTAGCTAATAAGATCCCGCAGGAAACAGATAATATAACATATACAAGCGAATGATCAATGAGAACAAATAATCATGAATGAAAAATCAGCAGGCAGAAACAGAACCAATCCAACAAGATAATCGGGCAAGTTTGAATCGTATAAAGATTTTAATATAAAACATCATGAAAAGAAAAGGCATTTGGGAGAAGGAAATAGGTAAAATTGAGAAAGCGGGATTGGAAAGCAAATAGCTGGGAGAATGGGAAATTAAATTAAAAAAAGAAGAAAGAAAGAACGACCTGAAGTGGACGTGAAATAGCATGAGACGAGGGGAGTGATGATTCTGCGAAAACCAAAGGCGAGTGGGGGTAAGGCGCGTAGGGGATTGGGGGATTTAGGGTTTATTTGCTTTCGTTTCCACTCGCTTTTATCTCACACTCGCCAATTTGGGGATCTCAGACTGTGTTCTCACATTCACTCGCTTCTTGTATGAGTAAAATTCGATGTGTCCTTTTTTATTTTTTATTTTATTTTATTATATTAGATAAATTACGTGTTTAGCATCTAAATTATGAATTTTAATCCATTTTAATACTTCAATTTTTAATTTTTAAAACCATACAGAAAGTTTAGTTTTTTGTTTCATCTTAGTACCCATTATTAAAAACTTTAGTTTTTGTTTCATTTTAGTACAACTGATCAAAATTTAACGTTAAATTTTAAAAAGATTGAAAGTTTAGATACTAAATGTGTTAGGTTTTTAATTGCAGGACACTAAAATAAAATGAAAACTAAACGCTAGGTATGATTTAAAAAAATGAAAGTTTAAGTACTAAAACGGATTAAAATTAATAGTTTAGGCAATACATGTATAGTGTACCCTATTTTATTTTATCCTCTCCCTTCAGGCCTTCCGCCTTCACTTGGTTTTTTTAGCCCAATACCCCAAACAAGTAAAAATTTAGGGTATTGTGCTTACCCAAATTTTTTTTTAGTAAACTACGACATTTGCAACAATCCGCCTAGAACTCATCACCTCGAGGTGAAGAGTTCCATCGGATATTATTTTTTAATGTTATTCGCTTAGTGGGCCCCATATGGACTGTAGTTCCCCGAATTTCGGGTTAGGAGTTAGGCTAGCTCGAGATATGCCTTGAAATAATTTCCTTAATTTATGAGAAGTGTAGACACCCGTTTTTGTCCGAATCTAAAAAAACATTATTATCATCATCATCATCATCATCATCATTATTATTATTATTATTATTATTATTATTATTATTATTATTATTATTATTATTATTATTATTATATTACATTTTTTGCAGCCTAGATTACAAGCCCCAAAGCCTAATTACAAGGGATCCAATCCAGCAGCCCAGAATACAAAGTAGCCCACCGGAATTAACCAAATAATCCCCAAACTCGAATGACCCAAATCCAACCCGAACCGCCAAGCTGACCTGACCCGACTTACCTAGGGTTTCATCATAACCCTAGGTAGCTTATGCTGTCACCGCCTACTGCTGCCAGCACCGACCACCTCAGATGTAGCCGCTATCACCTACAGTGACCGAACATCAAGCAATTATCAATCTATCACAATCAAAATAAAAGCAAATCAAGATAGAGATTTAGGGAGGCAGTCACACCCTCTGGTTTCTTGGAAACCGAAGGATAATATGAAGCCATTACATATCACATAAAAGAGGAAGACAGAGAAATAAAGGGGGATATTCGTGGTTTGAAAAGAAAAAGCAAGAAGAGAAAGAGTTTTCTAGGGAGAAAAAAATAGAGGGATTCGGGGTAACCATATAAAAACATCAAAAGGAAAAGGGAGGGAAAGAAAAAAAGTTTACCTTTTCTCCTCTAAATTTGCTCCGATCTACCCTCTATCTCGAAAATTCGACCCCGAATCTTTATTGAGAATGAAGAAATGCTTCGAATAGGGCCTTTGTCGCTCTTCTCTGCCGTCGACAGACGGCGGTCGGTGTCGATCAGTGGTGACTGACATGATGATGGCTCACTGTCGATGAAAGCTCTAGAGAGCTTTCTCTCTTTTATCACTTTTCAAAAGCAAGGAAGATAAGCAAATGAGGAGACAGGTGAGAAATAAGCCCTTTTGGGCTTATATATATCACACAAAACAACATCGTTTTAGGGGAGGACCTTCTGCGTATTTTCAACGTAGGGTAACTACATTTTGGGTCCCTCATTGTTTGGAACTTCATATTTTATCATTAATGAAATTTGTAGTATTGTATTTCGAGCTTTTTATGTTTCTATTTTTATGTTTTAGTCACTATGTATATATTTTAAAATTTTGGTTAAATGCTTCAATTGATCCATCAATTTGTTTTTATTTCATTTTAGTCCCTATCTGATTGGTTATTATATTTTTATTACTGTTTGACTTTGGCTATATGATATTTGTAATAGTTGCATTTTAGTCATTGATTTCATGTGTTGTGTATTTTTATGGATATTCAAATTTTACCTTGTTATTTATGCATATTTCATTTTGGTCATTGTTTTAATATTGTTATATTTAAGATTAATTATTATTTAATTCATTTTGTTTCTGGTTTGTTTCATTCCAGTCCCTAATGTTGTTTATAATTTGATCTATAATGTTTTCATGTTTGTGATTTAGTACCTTATTTATATGCACATTGACATTATAACTTCTAACTTATTTTTTATGTTTCATTTTGTTTTCTAAAACATGTAAATGGAAAATTTCATTGTGTGGGAAATCTACGAAGACATCTCCTGACTATTAGAAAATGTCTTTTCGAGGGTTTTTCGTATAAACGTTTGTTTTGTATTTGATAATTCTCTTTGTTCCACGTTTATTTATTTTGATTATATTTCAAATCTTTTCACTTTTATTTTGTTTTATTTTCTTTTATTTTATCATTGCGAAATAATGTCTTTTGTGAGGGGAATCTATGGGAAAGTCTCCTAACTACAAAGGAAATGCTTTCCTGAAGATTGTTCACACAAAAGGGCGTTTGTAATTTGAAAATTGACACTTTTTGAATAAAGTCAAATTGAATAAAAGTATTGCAATTTAAATATAATTTCGAGTTTGTAATTTCCAATATTTAAACAACATATAATCCTTTAGGTACCAAAATTTGGGTGTTGTGGGGGATGCTCACCCTTCCCTAACGTAATCGACTCTCGAACTTTTAAAAATGAATCTTTGGTAAAACGTAGACCATTTTTTGTCGTTTTAGGTTTCCAACCTACCTAACTTAAAGTTTGGTGGCGACTCCAAAATCAAATTGTTTTCAAAATTGAATTTCACCACCTTTCCCCGAACTTAATTTTTTAAATCTAACGGATCCCCCGGGGAAACGTTATGACAGCTTGGCAACTCCGCTGGGGACTTCGAGAGTCAGGCCATAAACGATTATACGTTGTTTTTATTTTTAGGAATTACAAATTTAAATTGTATTTAATTTACGATCCTTTTATTTATTTTGAGTTTCAATATATTATGTATTTTTTAATTTTTTAACTAATTGACTTTTGATTTTGGTGGTCTTTAGATTTGAACAGATTTTGGAAATTGTGAGAATGTTGTTTTTTGATCGTCTTTTTAAAGGTTTGTGGGTTTCTCCTCATACACAACATGTACATTTGCATATCAGAAGCTCAATTATGAGCTTTGTCCCTTTTAAGTTGAGATGAAAGCTTAGCCTATGTGAGATAATTTGTTTCTTCGTATGTGTTTTTACTAGTAAGCTTTGGGGTTCATATACCTTATGTTTACGTGAGATAAATTGTTTTTCCGCATGGTCATAAGGGAATGTATCCTCTCGAATTGAACTCGATCCGCACGAGCCTGTAATGGGCCAGGATTGAGGGTTTGGCAGCCTAAGGAGGCACCAACATGGACAATTCGAGTACATTTTTCTTAGACTCAACACAACATATAATGAGCCCTAGTAACCTACCCCGATAAAATTCGTAGATTGAAGGGAAGTTGATTCAGAGGCTATGTTCAACTACTTATCATCTTGATTCGGAGTCATTTCTGGAATGAAGAGAAAGTTATTGGGATCATGATTGAAATCATGGAGCTAAATAAAAGGGACAAATCACATTCATAGATTGATCTCTCTTGTAAGGATGAAAACTCTTTTGGATAAATGAAACTCTTTCTAAGAATGGTTACTTTTAAAAATCAATACCTTTTGCATTTGCATTCTGCATGGCATTCGTTTAAGCATTTTCGCATGCATCATTCTTGAAAACATGATAGTAATCTGTGGAGGATTCGATGAAGTGGTTCTAATCACGTGACATCACATTGAGACAGAAACTCGACATTTTTTTCTACCAATAAAACCTATAGACATTGAGTACAAGATATTCACTTGAACATGAACCCTCCTACAATAAGGCACGACTTGGGGCATCTCGCATCAATTTTTTGAAGTTGAGCTTTTGAGGCATACTGAGAGAAAGAAGCAAAAAAAAAGAAATTAATTCAAAATATATTATGTTATGCATTAATTACATTGTTTTTATGTGAATAAGAATTAATCCTGAATATATATCCCCCTGGGGATACCTCTTTTGTAAGGACTTCCGTGTATGAAATGATGAACAACATTATTTATTTATCCCTTCGCAAAAGGATAAAATATATCCCTTGTG